TTTCTTTTGAGACTTACTACAAGATTAATGTCATGAACAATTTCATTCATTCGGGTAGTAACAAATTAGTTCTTTCAGATCTCTTAACTGCTTTTGTACTACAAGATCTTTTGTCACACCATCCATATAATGAATGTCTCCTTCACAAAGAGAATCATATCATAATAATTGTCATGTTCAAAATCATCATAAGCAAAATAATTTCTTACTTTAATTTTGCTTTTAATAACTTTCATAAAGCTTGACAAAATATTTGGCGTATCACATGTATGCGACCAATGATATATTCATGTAAGGACACAATAATATTCATTATTTTTCTTTGTCTCAAACCCCCCTTAGAGGTGAGTTATAGTATTTATCCAACCATGCACTAGTACATTATTATGCATAATCTTTATCACATATATATTTTCATATTTACTTTCAGGAATGAGTATGCATTCCCAATGTTTATCACAGGTCACATTCTCTTCAAAGAATGGAGTATAATTATACAATGTGCTTTATTTTATTTTATTTTTTTCATACCAATTTGATGGTAAACATTATCTTGTTCTCCCTTTTTATAATTACCATAGTGATAATTATTATTATTTTGGCCTTTCGCATGCCCACATTTATTTTTCAACCACTTGTCTTTATTTAGACTTATCATGCACTGCTATCACATTCACTTCAAGAATGGAGCAAATCAAGCGGGACAAGCTTCATGTTTTTTCATGAAAAATATATTATTTTTTCTTTAGTTATTATTATTATCAATATGGTGCATTAGGATTCAAACCCAATACCTTACCCATATAGAGGCATGCTAGGCCATAATGCGTTGGAACTTGAATCCAGCGTCTTTTTATCAACATAGTGCGTTGGGACTTGAACCTATCGTCTTACCCTCAATCTTTGGCATAATAGGCCAAAATTCACTAGGACTCGCACTCGAGCCTTTAAAATATTATTACTTCATAATTATAGGCATAAGTAAATTAACTTTCAAGAAGACATATATAACTATTTCAATCTTGAAATAGTTCCTCTGCAACAAAAATATTAGTTAGGATATATGCCATTTTTTTAAAAATGATACAATCATTTTTATATTTTAATAAATTAATTAGGGGAAAGATGCAGATAACCTATAACTACTTATATTTCAAAGACTATAAGAACTTCACCAAAAAAATCCAATACGGAGGAATAAGCCTTATGTTTCCAGCAAAAATATTTAAAGCTTAATGCATAACTGTGACTATTATAAATTATAACTATAATGAGTTTATATTGATTGTATATTCGAATGCCAAATTTGTAAGGTACTGTAAAATCGCCCACATATTTGATAATTTTGCTTTCAATGAAATACATCATGTGATGGTAAAAATATTATTACTAAATTACCTTAATAATTATCTATCATAGTATGTAAAAGGTCAGAACATATATATATATGTTGGAATATTATATTTGTCCTATAAGAGATGTAGCCAATAAAGACATACCTTTTCAGTTCTTTATTTCAGTGGATACAATTGAAAAAAATATTTTAACTAAATACTGCACATAAAGTTAATGCAAAGATATGAAAGTATGAATGGGTTTAGATGGATGTAAAACTTATCTTTGTATTATCATCCAAGACATTTTTCATTGTACTTGATCTCATTGTCTGCTTATAATTTACATAGTCTTGACGTAGAAGATCATGAAATGAGCAATTCGTGCTGATAACGTGTTATAAAATAAAAGCAATTTAGTAAAACATGAACAAGACATGTTGTTATGAAATAAAAGCAATTTAGTAAAACATGAACAAGAAATAGAGATAGAGAGAAGGAAGAGATTTTCTTCTTCAATTGTGTGTATTTTCTTATCTATTACAAGGCCTTTATATAGGCATGAAAAGTGAAGAAAAATATGTCATTGAATATGTCATTAAACATAGAAATATGTCATTGAATATGTCATTAAGTATTTGAGAAGATCATGGAGGAAGAGTAGACATCCACCATAATATGATTTTTCTTATAATAAAAGCAAAATATTTGAGTGTGTAATTTTTGAAGTCTTTGCTTCAGTCATAAACATATGTACTTCAGCTACATATGTCATAAGTGTGGCTGAAGTGTAATATAAAAATCTACCTCTATTCACTTTCTTTTCAGAAACTTTTATATGCACTTCAGCCATATTTGAATAAAGTGTACATAAAAATACTTGAACTTCAGCCATATATGATTGAAGTATATACAAAAATGCCTGAATGCTTCAGCCATATGTGACCGAAGTGCAAGTAAAATCGGTTGAACACTTTAGCCATATGTGACTGAAGTGCAGTCATGCATGTAACCTACCAACTTCAGATGCGAATTATTGGAACTTCAGTCACGTACGTCTAAAATATGTTTTAAAGTATATAAATTTGTAAAATTTTGTGCAATACGAGTATGACTTCAATGGTGATCCCAAAATCGGGTATATTTGTACTTCTCCCAAAATAAATGGATCAAGTTTTCAACAAACCATTTTGTCTACCTCTCCATTTGGACATTTACCCATCACTTTTATTGGTATCTCTTGGTTCATCCGAAATGCCAAGATGAGGATTTGTATTAGATATGGAATTACCGAGTGGTATTTTTGTACAAATAGCCGATCAAATTTACTCTTTATTTTTTTTAGTTGATATACATTAATTATACACAGTTATATGCGTATTATATATGAACTATACATATATTATATATTCGTCAGTTATTTTTAATTCAAGTGGTTGGTTGAACAACTATTTGACTTAATTCTTCTATTAGGATCATGCATAATCTTGAGCCAATTAATGTCCCTATTTTGATGTATGGCCAGTTTATAAGTCCATACTAGTTGACATATGTTCTTTCACTAGTGAGTACTTGTATTCTATTAGATTGCAAAAAGTATTGCTAGATGATCGAAATCATTCTAGTCAGAATAAGAAAATAATTATTGCTTCCTTCTTTTAAAAACCTCCTAGACTAGACTAAGATCTTATCCATTTGTAGATGGAGATTGGATAGCAGCTAGGTCTAGAAGGAAGTTGTGCAGAAAAGGAACTTCGACGACCTAGAGATCGTGGAGTCTACGCCTATGCCGAAAGTGAAAAAGCTTTCCTCTTCTTTCAGTCGAGCATGATCACCATTTAGCACCTCCCTTCTCGAAGTGAGAGTAGAAGAAATGAAAGTGCACTTGGTTAATTACCATAGATCAATTACATTTTATCTAGAACAATCACAAATACTTTTTTTATTATGGATCTACTACCTGAAATTCAATACGTAATTTCAATATTCAATGTGTATTCCTGAATGATTATCGAAAATATCTGCAATAAAAGGATATAATAATTATGGCTTTTTCGTATAAATGTGCTGAAAATAAAATTTTAATATCCATATATTTTAACTTATTGTAGCAAGTTATTTGTCTTATTTGACAAGTTAATAATTTTTACTTTTGTGCATAGCTATTTATAGTTATTATTCAAGCGGCCTAATGGCGGCCTAAATTTTCTCTTTTTTAAATTTACCTATGAGATGAGGTGGAAGGATCCATGATTATTTATAATCTATTTGGACCAGCTTTTTTTGGGCCAAAATTGCTTTTTTTCAACGATAAGATGTTTGTCCAAACTTTTAAATTTAAAAAAAAAATACTTTTGAATAGAAGCAGAAGCAGTTTTTGAGAAAAAGAAAAAGGTAGCTTCTTCCCAAAAGTATACTTTTTTGAAAGTACTTTTGAGAAGAATACATTTAGTATCACTTTTAAATACTTGTCCAAATACTAATTGATACTCAAAAATACTTTTCAAATTAATTACTCAAATACAAACTGTTTCACACCAGAAGTATTTTTTTAAAAAGTACTTTTGAGAAAAGCAAATTACAACTGTAGAAGTGACTCTCTCTCTCTCCCTCTCTCCCCCCTCTCTCTAATGTTTCTTTCTTTCTTTCACTGCAGCGTCCTCCACCGGGGACTCCATCTCCGGCGACCGGGTAAGGCTGCCCTTTTCTCCGTCTCTTCTATCTCTCTTCCCCTCTCTCATCTCTTTTCTCCCTTCTATCTTCTGTCTCTGCCTCTCCACTTTTCTTCCCAGCCTCTCTTCCTTCATCTATCACACCACCATCTCGTTACCGACGCTGACCAAAATGTCATCACCGGTGCCGAACAATTATTGCCAAAGCCTCCCAAAAGATTTTGATAGAAGAAGATTCCAACAAACAAACTTGCCGCCATTCGCTATCACGAGACAAATTTGCCTGCCAGATTAAGGTAGCCCACGTAAAATCTTTCCTTTTTTATGATTCTTCCCATTATTTTTTAGGTTTTAGTCTACTTCTTGTTATTTTCTTTACCATATCCATAATATTACTTTAAATCAGAATCTTCTCATTATATTTCTTTATATATTGCTTTCGTGACTTTAATTTTCTTGCTTTTTTTGCTTTCTTGCATTTCATTTTTCAGTTTTTGTGTTAGATCTAGTTTAAATTATCACTGTAATTTTTGATCGAGTGGATATCCTTGCAAACCTAGTAATGGCTTTAGCAAATGATGGTAGACTAAAGTTGTGTTCTCGGTTGGGGTTGGGGGTGTTTAGGGGCAAGGGACAAGGGTGTCAAAAGTGCCTCTCGCCTGAGGATTGTGTCGCGGAACATAGGGTCGCTGACAGGGAAATCTATAGAGCTTGTGAAGATTCTCAAGAAAGAGGAAGATAAAACAGCTTGTGTACAGAAAACTAAATGGGTGGGAACTAAGGCGCGAGATGTGGCTAGGTATAAATTGTGGTACTCTGAAGTCTCGCGATGTAAGAATGGAGTAGGTATGTTAGTAGATAGGGATCTTTGGGAGCAAGTGGTAGAGGTCCGGAGAGTGAATGACAGAATGATGGCTATCAAATTAGTTATTAGTGGGCTCACTTGGAATAATACTAGTGCTTGTGCGCCACAAGTGAGCTTGGATGAGGAGGTCAAAAAGCACTTTTGGGAGGATTTGGACGAGGCTGATCAATGTATCCCACAAACCGAGAAGATAGTCTTAGGAGGAAACTTCAATGGCCATATCGGCTCTACTTCGAGGGGTTATGATGATGTGCATAACGATTTTGATTTTGAAGCTATGAATGATGGAGGGGTTTCCTTTTTGGATTTTGCAAAAGCTTGTGAGTTGGATATCGCTAATTCGAGGTTTCAGAAGAAGAACAAGCACTTAGTTACTTTCCAAATCATGGTGGCCAAGACCCAAATTGATTACCTATCTTCAGGAAGTGTGACAAAGATCTATGAACAGATTGCAAGGTTATCTCGAGTGAGAATCTCATGACCCAATATAGGCTCTTGGTAATGGACTTAGAGATCATGAGAAGGAGGGAAAAGAGGGTTGCGTATGGTCAATCTAAGATCAAGTAGAGAGCCTTGACGAAGGAAAAAGCTCAGTAGTTAGAAGAGAAGTTGATGGCTATGGGGGGCTGGAGGAGTAGCGGAGATGTGAGTGATATATGGACCACGACATTAAATTGCATTAGGGAAGCTGCTAGAGGAGTTTTAGGGATCGAAGGATTACTCTGGTAGATACAAAAGGGACTGGTAGTGGAATAGAGAGGTCCAAGAAAAAGTGAAAGTCAAGAAAGCATCGTACTTGAAGCTAGTTGAGAGTATAGACGAGGAGGAGAAGAGGATAAATAGCGAGTGATACAAGAAGACAAAGAAGGAGGCGAAGGAAGCAGTCACGACAGCTAAGACTGCAACTTTTGGACATTTGTATCAAGCTACTAAGTCACACTATGAAAGTTTGGGAGAGAGTGGTGGAAGTGAGGGTGAGGAGGAGTGTATCTATTTTCCCAAAAATCAGTCCAGATTCATGTTGGGGCAATCAATCACAAAAACTCTTCATCCTATAAGGAGATTAATTGAGAAATATAAGGAGAGGAAGATGGACTTGCAAATGTTGTCCATTGACCTGGAAAAAGCATACGAAAAATTCCCAAGGTAGGATCTATAGAGGTGTTTGGAGATTAAATAGGTCCTTGAAGCTTACACTAGGGTGATTAAGGACATGAATGATGGAGCTAATAACCCGGGTGAGGACAGTGGGAGGAGACTCGGAACACTTCCCAGTTATGATGGGGTTGCACCAGTGTCACTGCCCAAAACCCACAATAAGCTCCGATGGAGCCCAATGCTACCATTAGGCAAAGAAACAATTTAATCGACACGTCAACAGTTAATCCAAAATGCATTTCGGGACAATTAAAGAAATAAAGAGTAAAAATCATTCGTTTTCATAAAAAGTATAGATGTTATATTTTAAATGTTCGAATGTGGCCAAAATATAATCTGGAATCATAATCAGGATATAACCATCTAAATCCCCCAAAATTCGGTGTCATAAGTGCACGGGCTTCTTCTATAATATATAATATTACTACAACAATCGTCATGATAGACAAATAGACAGAATACAATAAATGGATAGGACAGTGACTCTGTGTGCTGCGGATCATAACATAGGGAGTAGCTCACCATAAAATCTCCTCAGCAATTGCGTTTATGCGCCCAGATGACCACCAAATGTACATGTCTCAGTACCTGTACAATTAGTGCAGAAGTATAGTATGAGCATGTAAATCAACACGTATCCATTTAGTATCTAGCATAACTCCGAAGAAGTAGTGACGAGGAATCGACATCAATACTTACTAGTGGTCCAATAAATCAAGTACAATAAAAGTAGACAGGTATGAAGTATGGCAAATAAAATAGTGAAATCAGATATATGTACATAACACGATCCTCAACTAAAAGGTAAATACGAAGTCCTCAAGTACCGAGTATTAACCGCGAATGGAATACATAATGGTCAACACCAGATAAAATATCACATCTCAATGGAATACATAATGGTCAACATCAAGGCAAACGACCCGATCCCATAAGAGTGATGGTATAATATCTTGCCGTGGCGTAAGACCCGATCCCATAAAAATAGTGTACTTTGCCGGGGCGTACGGCTTGACCATAAGAATTTATACTCTGCCGAGGCGAACGACTCGATCTCATAAGAGTGTGTTACATGATACTGCCGAGGCGAACAACCTGATCCCATAAGAGTGTATTATATGATACTGTCGAGGTGAACGGCCCGATCCCTAAGTGTATATTACATAATACAGTTAAGGCGAATGACCTGATCCCATAAGAATATGTACTATGATGAGGCGAACGGCTCGATCCCATAAGAGCGTGAAACTTTGATGGGTCACTGGCCCCACTCACGAATATACGTGTGAGTTATAAAATTCAAGAAAACTTTCGGATGAATACACACAACGCGGAAGAAATCTGTAAAGGGAAGTATAATTTTCACGGCTAATCAAGTAGCTCATCAAGTATCTAAAATAGCAAATTTGATACTCTACGCAAGTCTAGTCTTCGCCGTCAAAAATGTGAATTAAGGCATTCAAACAAGCAAGAACAACTCAAGTAATATAGTTAAAATATGGTGTGTGTCTAAGTCTATCTGGGCATGATCAAGAATCTAGAATACACACGGACACTCATCATCTCATACGTGCGTAGCTCCCATAACACATAGCACATAATAATTATAGCACTTACGGGGTAAATTCCCTCCCTCCC